TTGTGGGGGGGGGGGGGGGGAGGGGTGGGGCACTCTCCGCGTCCTAATGTTGACAAGTTACCTCAGGTCAGTGCGCAGGTTCTTACCCGTTAGTCCACGGCTATTCTTGAAGGTGTTGTTCTGTGTTATACCAACACTAACAACTGGGAGAGGTCGTTTGGCGCGCCCACTCGACGCGGTTTTTGCGGTGGACAACTCGTTCAGACGATTCACCCCGCTGACCATGGTAGTCGGCCAACCCACTGCCCATCCAGCTGATATACGCCCGATCGATGATGACCCCTAGGCGCCGAATTGCGGACCAACTGCGCAAACCATTTTTCGTTTTTGAATCGCCATAGAAGTTTTCTATGCGCTGCGTCTGCGCTCCTGTCATAGGGTCAAGTGGTCAACTAAGTTCCCGCAGTGGTTGAGTTGGTCAGGTTATTATAGCGTTTCCATTAGTCTGTGCCCCTCAGGTAGGACGTACTTCTGGATTATAGCATGCAGTGATGCAAAGCCAGATAGTCCGTAATCTCTACAAGCACTATTTTCGTCCCATCCTGTATACCTCTGACGAGACAATCTTTGTGGGCGATGCGACCCACTTTATACTTTTGTGGTACAATACATATTTCGTCCATCTGCACCACTATACTGGGTCCTCCTACTTTCCTCACATAGTTGGTGTAGTAATAATCCAGCTCGTCGCGGAACCACGGCGTCCACTGGATTTGCTCCTCTCATTCACCTTCAACCTCCGCGCTATCTTCTTCACAATTCCAAGATAGTAGGCGAAGAGGTAGTTCGTCAGAAAGATCTTTTCCCACTCTTTTCCCGACATTTTTTCTCTCTCGCCAAGCAGTCTTTCGGACAAGATATCCTTCGAATACTCGACCTTATGAAGGATCCCTGCTTGACGACATGGCATGTCTGCAACACTCAAACTTCCAGCGCACACATTTCTCATACTTCTCCCCTTGATTCGTCAGCCTACATGAATTCCCCCAAATCGAACAAAATCGCGCCTTCCTGAGCAGTCCACTACCAGCTTACCACTCGTCAAATCGCTCCTTCGACTTATATGGAGGCGTCGGCCTTGTGGTTTTCAAAGTGAAACTTCGAAGAGACAGTAATCGATCAGTCATAACCGCGAGTTCAATTGAAAATATAGTCAAGTATCGGTATTAAATTAGTAAAGTCACATCAACACATGCTCCCTCATGTCAGTGCTTGTGTTCTTGGTGCACGGCCTCTTTGACCTGAAGTAACACGTCAGTATTTAGAGACGCGGAAGGTGCCCCACCCCCCGATAAACTCTCGGGTGACAAAAGTTTCTGTGGATGTTTGTTACACGAGCAACGCAGCAACCGCTGCTGCGTTTAACTACAAGGTCATGCATCAAACCTTGCCTCGCCTTTAATTAACAGAAAGACTAACTGACTCCAAGAAAGACATGCCAAATGGTGCTGAAGTTGAAGCCCGGCGGAACTCACATGACGATCCGCTTAACTCAATCCATAATTCCCATCCACGGTACGCAGACCTTTTATTTCCTGTGAGAGGCGAGGGCAGTTTGGGCGACAATCGATGTCCCAACGACGGGTTGACAAAAATTTGTACTATTCAGA